TATCTATAAGTTTAAAAACATCTCAGATCTATGAATGCCTTTCCTTTGAGTCCATAGTTGGTAGGTGGCATTTTGCACAACCGGCCCATATATGGCAGCAATAGTCCTCCTACAAAGTAAGCAGCTGTCCCTGCGTAAAGTATCGCCGCACCTTGCAAAGACTCTTAGATTCCTTGCAGCTGCTTTGGCTTGGACTCAATGAACCAAGCGAAGTTCAGATTTGAGGATATATCAACCCACAACAACTGAAAGCGGTCGGTGTATTTCAGTGATACAATTCGGAAAGAAGGAGCCAAGATGAGCTGGCTCCTTTTTGCAGTGAAGAGATACGCTTGTTTTGGTGGCGTTGAATTTCAGAATATTACCATTACCCTATTTTATGAGATTCACACGCTCAGCCATAACTACTCTTTAGGACTGATACTTTCGGTTGCTTTTTGGTGGTTTCGACTTAATACTAAGCAGCTATTTTGTTCTCGGCTCTGTTGTTCTCGGAAGTTCTTTTTTGTAACTAGCACTTTCGTGTCTTACAGCATAGCAGCACAAGAGTTACCTACCTATAAAAATAGCCATAACATAAGGAAGATAAATGGAAAATAGCCACGTGGAAATAAAATTATGAACATAAGTAGTCATGTATTTTTAGTGACCATTTAATAAATACATTTTTAAATAGTAATGTTGTGTCACTTCCTTGATTCCCGAAATTTTCAGTGCCGCCCTCGTACTTATACTTGTAACTCCCATCTTTTTGTAAATTTGAAGTATTAGACTTCTTTTTGCACACGTTAACCGCACACATCGGCAATTTTAAAGAGCACTTACAAAGACGGAAACTTATGTAACTTCTGAAACTTCTTGTAATGTTAATAAATTTCAAAATCGTTTCCGTAAACAATTTTTATAAACACAAGATTTTAAATCCAATTCCTGCGCAGAGGGGAGTTGAATGGTCTAAGCGTCGACGACCCATCGCTAGTTTAGTCTGTAGATGCTATAGATTTATAGCCGTTTTTGGTGTTTTGGCGGGAACTTTACCGTAGACAGATTGTCGCTCCTGTTTTGTCACTTGAATAATGGTTCGAAGTGAATTTTGATTCGTAAAAGTAATGAATTAAGTGTCCGCGCGTGTGAACTATTAGAGAAAACGACGAAACAAGTGCTTTGATGTCGATATAAACCTCAAGTTATTTTGATCGCTGGGGCGCCTTATGAACTTGAGTGGCTGTCTTCATCAACTGTCCGCTGCGTTGAGCTGTCGCTAAAATCTCCCAAGGGCTTCTCAACGTGACGCATCAGCATATTGTGAAGAAAAAATATAAAAATGAAGATTTTGAAAGAAATGATCAGAAGCGCTAGATCCCAGAGCCGTAATGCCAGTTAATAAAAAATAGCCGTTTTGAACAACTAACAAGCTCAATGGCTGCGTTTGGCAGCAAAAAGCGCTAGCAAACGCTTGTAAGCAAAATGGCGGAACTAAACAGTTTTCGGCCAGGACACGTCTGCTATCTTCAGTAGCGCTAATACAGTCCGCCATTTTACTTATTTACTTTGTTTGTTTTAGAGTAGAGTTTATAAGTTGTTTAGTTTCAAGTAATATAATGACATGAATAAACATATTATACGTGTTATTAAAAATTCATGATTGGTAAATTTTTAATGTGAATACTTTACAAACATATATTTAAATTAGGTTAGGTTCCCCGGTTAAAGCTAACTTCATGTCCTAGGGGAAAATAGCTACTTACGATTTGACAGCGCTTACCGCTTACGATCGCCATTTTGCTTACAAGCGCTTCCTAGAGATTTTTTCTACCAAACGCAGCCAACACAGAGTACTTTCTAATATACTGAAAGCAGCCAATCACTAGTGATTGTCAAATTATCAATGTCAATTGTCAATATTTTTTATACTAAAAACTAAAAAAATATTTAGATGACAATAGCTTTTATTAGGTATTTAATAACAATTAGGGCGAAATTCAAATAAAACTCATATAATTTATAGTAGTTTTTATCTGGTTAGTCTTAAAAACAGCGCATGCCGGCATCCCTTGTAGTCGATGTCGTAGTATTTCTCGTAAAAGTCTTGTATCAACTCCTCGACCTGCGGGCGAACATGTCAATTGATATATTACAAGTAAAGTGCGATGGATGCAGTGAGGTTGCGCACGAACCTTTTATAGAGTGCTGTGAATGTGAAACGAATTTGTGTACGACATGTTTTGCTGCCGGCCGGGAGCTAGGCGACCACAAAAACAACCACAAGTACGCTGTACGAAGGAACGATTTCCCTCTTTTCGAAAACTGTAATTGGTCAGCTAAAGAGGAGTGTAAGTTGCTGTCTGCAATATCTACATATGGATTTGGAAACTGGGAAGAAGTATCCAAAGTAGTGCACACACGATCAAAACTCGAATGTCAAGAACATTATAAGAAGTATTACATAGAAAATGTTCAATATAATGAGCTAAAGCTACTACCAGAAACAGAACAATCCCTCTTCCCCAAGCCAATCATACCTTACTTGTACAATTTGCAGACAAGTATTAATCCCCCCAGGAACAATCAATCGGAACAGCAGTTGGCAGGTTACAATGCCTACAGATCTGAATTTGAACTCAGTTACGATCATAATGCAGAAAACATTTTTAACATGGAGGACAGTTACTCTGAAGATGAAGATGATGAAGAGTGCATGGATGCATTGAAAGTCAGTTTAGTAAATGCTCTCAACACAAGGCTGAAAGAAAGGCAGCGACGGTACAATATTATCAAAAACCACGGTTTAATAATGCCAAATAAATTGCTATCATGGTTAAAGAGGTTTGATAGCACATTGATGAGATGTAAAACTGAAAAATTAGTTGCATTTATGCAATTCATGACAGGAATGCAGTTTGATGCATTCATAGAGGCACTGAGTCTAGAAGAAGAAATAATGCAAAGAATATTCCGACTGATTGACTACCGAAAGAATGGTATCAAGACATTGTATTCTGCGAGACTTTATAAACAGTTGAAAAGAGAAAATGCCTTAGCTTTTAAAGAACAGAAATATGCTACATCTATTATGCAAAATACTTATGAGAGACAGTCCCCTGTTAAAACAAAACAATTTATCCTAAAAGATGGTCTGAATAAGAAGTTCAAAAGAACTTCAATGCCTTTGGATATTGTAGATCTGCCAGGTTTCAATCTCTTACTGGACAGTGAGAAAAACCTCTGCTCTAATTTGAGGTTATTGCCTCAGAATTACATGGAAATAAAGAAACAATTAGTAGCAGAGAATAATAAATTAGGATTCCTGCGGCTGCTAGATGCACGAAGGGTGCTCAAGATAGATGTAAACAAAACTAGAAAAATATATGACTATCTTCTAGAAGAGGGCTTTCTAAATAAACCACCAGCCTATAAACATGGTGCTTCATAGTTAAATTGTTTTATTTTATCAAGTGTTATCCCTGACAAGACATTTAACAATCAACTTCTTATGTGGTAGATCCTCGCTGCAGCTATATTATAGTTGTAGCATGAATGGGTCAGCTTGATCGAGGCAGGACCACGCTCTCACAGAATACTCTCACAGAATACTAATAACCAGTGTAAAATAGCAGCTTAATACTGCTGTGTTTCATATGGTGAGTGTAGAGAACCGGAGACCCTTTTTTACTGGAATCGAGGTTTTACATCTTACTCCTCAGTGGTGACAACACATTTGCATTTTGATCCTTAGTTGAGGGTAAATGTGGATGTCTATAGGGCACAGCATCCACTTACCATCATGTGATCTGTGTGCACTTTTGTGACCCTTGTTCTATAAAAAAATGTAGTGGGGGCACCCAACACTGTGCTTGCTAGTAAAAGTCTGCCACTCAATTTTTTTCATCAGTTGTCTGTTATTTGAGCTATATGACCAGCCAATTGCAATAGCATACATAAGAATGATAAAATACATGATTTTTTTAAACATTAGTCTGTAAACGACCACTGCTGGAAATTAATTGTAGCATTTAATCTTAGCATTTGCAATTTACAAATTGCAGAATCAAATGTCTTGCCCTTTTATCACTGCTGAAAAAAGGGGTTGATGGTTGGCTCAACTGCAAAGAGACCTTCCAGAATTCCAATGTAAAATAGTAGCATAACTGCAGTTTTGTTTGCTGAGTATAAATAACCCAAGACAACTTTTATTAAAATTGTTGAAAATTAGCTAAGATCCGCATAAAATTTTATAAATATATTTTAAAAAAAATCTTATTATATAATTATATAATAAGCTAATTAATTTTTTAACATGTTTAATATAATGGATTTCTGCAAAGTGATGCCTGATTCTATTAATCAACTTTTACTAGTAACCATCATTACATCTTGCACACCAGAGCTAACAGCGCATCTGCATTTTGATTCTGATAGTTGTGTCTATAGACCACACCTTTAATTGTATTAAAAGACGAAAGTTTGAAATGTAAAATATGCCATTTTAATACATTGTCTGCCATCAAATAATTGTAGTATCATAGTAAGGTCCTCCAGACCGAATTTCGGTCACGGCGGCCAGCCTCAATGGAGACAAGCCATCGGCGCAGAACTGGATTATAGTGCCCAAGTGTATGCGCAAGCACAGGTGCACTCTCTATTCCATCATTCTCATATTCCGATGGGACGGTAAACCGACACGACCGGAAAGAGATCACGCGCAGGACCAACGGCTTTACGTGCCTTCCGAAGCACGGGGGTGATATACCGCTAACTTCCTGACTCCGGGCAGCTATTGATAATTTCTTGACGGAAAAACTCAATAATTAATTTTTTCGCCCAACCCGGGATTCGAACCCAGGACCTCATGATCAGTAGTCGCGCCACTACAACCACTAGACCAACGAGGCAGTCAGTATCATAGTACAGATACTCTGTCTGTCTGAAATCCATAATAGGAGGTGGATGACCAGTGGTAGTTTTTTGTGTGTAAATAAAATGACATAAAATAAGTGAATTTAACGTAATATGGTAAATTTTTCTATTATGGAACTTACCTTAAAACCAAACTTCTGGTAAAGAAATATGGCTGGATTTGTTGGCGAGACATGTAGAGTTACATCTTTGCCCGTGCAAGTCTAAAATACACAAAAACATTTAAAAAACATTGTGACTGATACATGCAAAATTAGCTACTTAAAAATGCATACACCTTCTAAAATAAACATAATTTTTGTTTGTCAAGATTTAATTTATTCAATTTACTTAGTACACAATGTACATTTTGTATCCTTTTATTCCTTTTAGTACTTATCACATTAAGTAGGTTTGATGATTAAATAAATTTTGGACTGATACCAATTAATTGCAAATGAGAAATTATGATGTGTTGGAAATCGCCGATTTCGCCTTACTAGAGTATTTTTTATAGATTGATTATGAATACATACTTAAATAATTTATATAAACAGCATTAACAGGTCAACTTTGTCGTGCAGGGGAGATATAAGAGAATCCACTCTCCTGTATCGTCCTGTGGGTGACGTATGAGGCGACAGAGGAAAATGAAACAGATTGGCAGCACCATCTTCCTGATAACATTTAAAATAATAAAAAACTGTGTTTCATATAAAAACTAAATACTACAATCACATCTCATAGGAAAGCTACTACTGTTTCACTCTAAATGATTTTTTAAGTAAAATATTCTACAATCCTGGTAGAAGTTTGTATAGAACAGGGTACATAGTACAAATTTGGCCAATATACAAATCGAACGAAGGGTCCGGCGAAGATCTTCCCGATCTAGCCCGATCTTCGGCTACACGCATCCAGTTTCTACCAGCCGCCTTGCGCAGATCGTCGCTCCATCTGGTCAGGGGGCGTCCCACACTACGTTTGCCTAGACGCGGTCTCCACTCCATAACACGTCTACTCCACCGGTTGTCACTTCTGCGGCAGACATGACCAGTCCATTGCCACTTCAGCTTACAAACATGGAAGGCCATGTCAAGTAATCTTGGTTCTCCGGTTATATACAACATAGTCACATTGCCTTAAATTAATTTTACTAGCTGATACCTGCTCACTTCGCCGGGCGCGCGATAATATTTTATTGCGGAACTTAGATGTAGAATATTAAGAATTTTTTTTAATGGGAATTGAGTAACTACTAAATTTCATAGTAATGGGGTGTAAACTATACAGTTTTAGAAATCTCGTGATGAGTCGTCAGTCAGTCTGTGAAATTTCATTTAAATATATACCAAATATAAATATATATATATATATATATATATATATATATATATATATATATATATATATATATATACTTGTTTGGATAGTCCAAAAATTTACTGATTCTTGCAATAATGTCATAATATTTAAGCTGTAAATTGGTTATAGTATGAAAGTCATTCCCTCCCATATCATTCTTCCTGAAATCGTATTCTTACATTCGTTTGGAAGAAATTGCTGTCAGTAATAAGGCCGCCCATTGCATAAATAACCAAACTTTTTTTTTGTGTAAATAATCTCTGTATGTTTTGTATGGTGTGCAAGTTTTTAAAAAAAATTGAAGGGGCACATGACATATTCGCCAGTAATTATTTCTTACTCATAAGTCAATTCTTAACTACAATTCCATACAGTAGTAAGTGATGATGAAGCCTAATGTCTGTATGCTGAGAAAAACTTATTTTACTATGGGTATATTTATAATCATTAACAATTTTATCCAGAGAAACTCATTTACCATACGACCAGTAATAAAGTACCACCTACCAGTTCCTTTAATCATCACTGGCAACGCACACTGGTTATTGTTGTGTGGTATTTGCATAGACTTCATGGAAAAAGAGGGATTTTTATGATGAACTCTTTCTTCCCGAAGCGGCCCCACAGGAAGTGGGGTCGCGCCCCGCCTGGCCTGGTCGAGCCCCGACAGTTCGACAAAAAATAAGATTGACTTCATTATGACGACCAGACTCCAACTGTTAGATGATGATCGCATGGGTGAAACTGGCAGCGATCACTGAACGGTTAGAGGCTCATTGAACCTAAACGTTAAGTTGGAGAGGTCCCGTCTAATGAAGTCAACGCTCCATCGCCCTTGTGCGCTAATCCGGGGTCACGAAAACTTTCAGCTCGAATTACAAAACCGTTTTCACTGTCTAGAAGACCGCAATGTAGTTGACGATATGAATGATAAACTCGTGGAAACTGTCCATGCGGTCGGAGCTAAGTCCAGCAAGACCAGAAGAACACAAAAACTCTCCGATAACAATCTTAATCTTATGGTTGTTAGACGATTAATGAAGCTGCAGTCTTCAACAGATTTGACAGCATACAGGCAACTGAACAGACAGGTCTCCAAATGCATACGGCGGGACTTACGCATACTGCTCGTATTAAAGAAGATCGAGCGGAACCAGGGCTTCAAAATCTTTGCCAGAGATTTGTCTGCCAGAAAGAGCCAACTGTCAAAAGAATGAGTGAGTGAAGAATGAGTGTGGCAGCATCGTTTCCGTGACACCTGAAATTTGAGTGAAGATTGAGATGTTCTATGGGCAGCTGTACACATCGTTGTTGGAGCCACACGCAGGTGCGAGTAACGATCCAAGAGCAAGTCTTATCTGACATTATTCCGATGATATCCCGGACATCACTCTGAGCGAGATTAGAATGGCTCTCCAGCACCTTAAGAACGGCAGGGCCCCAGGCGAGGATGGAATTACAGCGGAGATTCTGAAAGCGGGTGGAAAACCAGTACTTGAAGTCCTTCAGAAGCTCTTCAATTCCGTCCCTCATCGTGGCATTACTCCGGAGGCGTGGAGCAGAAATGCAGTGGTCTTGCTCTTCAAGAAAGGCGACAACGCTTTCTTGAAGAACTATAGACTGATTTCCCCTCTGAGGCGCGTCTACGTGCTATTTTCGGGAGTCATTACAAATCGTCTCGCAATAAAACTCAACGACTTCCAGCCTCCCGAACAAGCCTTTTTCCGAAAAGGCTTTAGTACCATGGACCACATACATACCCTGCGGCAGATAGCTCAAAGAACCGACAACCAATAAGAAAAAAAGGTTCTTGAGTGGCAGCCTCGTACCGGTAGGCGTAGTGTAGGGCGACCCCCTACTAGACGGAGTGACGACCTGGTAAGACATGCATGAAATCGATGGATGCAGGTGGCTCAGGACGGTGTTTTGCGGCATTCCTTGGGGGAGGCCTATGTTCAGCAGAGGACTTGTGAAGGGCTGTAATGAAGATGATGAACATTACCTGCAATAAATGATAGAGCATAAATGTGGCAATCTTGGCGTTTCTCCACTCGGGCCTGGTGAGTATGAAGGATATATAGGCCTCGTTGGGACCCACGTCAGGTACCAGGAATGCGCACGCTACCACCAGCTTCTTATACGTCACAACGCAACTGAACTCCGGGTGTTGCAGGGATTCCGACACTAAGGAAAACGAATATAATAATTTATTTGTTCCATCAGATAACTGAAATCCATAGATTGTTAATTAATAAAAATTTAGGTTACAGCCCATATGCGTCCTACTGCTGGACACATAAGCTTCCCCTCATTCCTGAGAGGATTTTAGGGCAAAGAAGATTACGCTGCGCCGCCACAATGCGTGTTGGTGAACTTTACATGTCTTCGAATTTTTTTTATTTCTCAGAAATGTAGGTTTTCCTCACGATGTTTTTCTTCACCGCCGAGCACGTGGGAAATCAGCACTTAAATTTGTAATTACATAACAATTTCATTGGTACCGGTGGAGATTGAACCTGGGTTACTCTACTTACTTTACAGCGAGCGCTAAGCATCTGAGCTGCCACGGCTCTTAATAAAATAAAACTTAATGCAAGTTATTAGCACAAAATTTTATATATAAAAAGGGATCTCACCATCGATTCCAGGCCAGAAGAACTGCGCCAGCAAACTGTTGACGGGTGCGATGTGCTGAGGACGTACGTACGAGTAGTCCAGGCTGGCATTCGGTGGGGGCTCGTAGCCTTCTAAGTGCCTGTGAGCGTAAGTTTCTAGTAAGTTAGCGCAAAAATTTTGTAAAATAATGCTTTGTAAAATAATATTTTACAATGATACTCCGTAAGAGCACGGAGAACAGAGTGCGCAGTGCGGAGTGCGCAATGCGGAGTGTGCACTGCGGAGTGCGTATGGCTTCAGCTGCAGCAGTGCACAGGAAAGTGCAGCGGAACCGGTGCGCAGGAGCAGGTCGCGCAGAGATGCAGCCGGGCGACGCGGCGGCGGGGTCGCGCCGGATGTACGTTCAGCTGCAGCCGAAGTGCGGAGTGCATAGTGCGGATAGCGGACACTCACCGGTGCGTGGCAGCGAGCAGGTCGCGCATGAGGTGCAGCCAGGGCGACGCGGCGGCGGGGTCGCGCCGGATGTACTGCTTCAACAGCAGCTCGGAGTGCGGAGTGCACAGTACGGAGAGCAGACACTCACCGGTGCGTGGCGGCGAGCAGGTCGCGCATGAGGTGCAGCCAGGGCGACGCGGCGGCGGGGTCGCGCCGGATGTACTGCTTCAGCAGCAGCCCGGAGTACGGCGAGCGCAGGGACCCGCCGCAGCGCGACACCAGCACCACGCCTCGCCGACCCACGCGCACCGCGCCGCTCAAGTTCTCCAGTAGATACTGCGCTACCACGTACACACGCAGTTTATAGAGGGCACAACGGTTGTAAAACCATTTTTATAAAATTAATATAGTGTTTTAGAAAAGGTTAGTCAAAAAGTTATTACATCCTATATTTCATTTTCAACAACATGGTTTTTAAACACCGTAGTGAGGATACCAATGTGGTAACTTTTACTGATTATTTGTCAAAAGCCATGGATAATGACTTACAAGTCGATGTTGTGTGCACATTACTCCAAGGCTTTCGACATATTAAATGACGAACTATTCATTGAGAAGCGTAAAGACACACCTCAAGTGTCACACGAGCCCTTTGCTGTTTTCTTTAAACGCATATTAATCATATACGTCTCGCACTAAAAATTATGAATATTTACTTTACACCGACAACACAAAGTTATTCAAAGTTAACAAAACTGTGTAAAGCTGCAAAAAGACCATAACTGATTTATATGTGTACGCACCACAGTTTGCGACTCGTACAGCTTCTTTGATAGTTAAGTTAGTTTATAGTTATGTAGTCAGTTTAAGGCGGTAGTACGTCAGTATGCGTGGCGTATAAAATAGGCAAACGTTTTGTTACTTTAACAGTTTATTACACAGAGGTTAATTAGAAAATGGTGCATTATAAATAGTTCGCGGCGTGTTGCGGATTTCTTAAGCAATTTTTCCTTGCACTCCTCACGATTGATATACGGGCAATGCGGCGAATCCTCCCACCAGCAAATGAATCATGACGAATTGGTAGTGCATCGTAGGAGTTGGCAGTTACTCGTTAATATTATTGAGCAAATTCATCGTCCAAAATACCAAAAAGTGTACGTGCTAAGCTTTCGACGCCGTTGATGTAGCCTCTCTTCTTGCGGCTTAGAAAATAGTAGATTTCTATGAATAGTTTCTAAAAATAAATCTCGGAATAAAACCCATTGGTTATAATTTCCATTGAATTCTGGCAGTTCCATTTTTGGCGTAGTTTTAAAATCAATAAAAAGCGATTTATTTACACTGTAAAGAAACTGAGAAATACGACACTGTAAATTTTACAGTGTCGTATTTCTCCTCCCACCGATTATATTGTTCTTTGTATTGACTACATTGAACGCCTTTTAGTTCAAAGTCTAACTCTCAATAAATGTTGTCAATAGCTTCCCACTTGCTTTTCAGTGCGTCCAGGTTATCTTCGAGTTCTCGTTTTTTAGTCATGTTATCCAGATAAATCTTGCTTATTACTCGATCAAACGCATTAATGTCAAACATTTGTTGCCGCAATAGTTTTTGATGTTCTGAACTTAGTTTTTCGGGATTCTCAGGCTTATTTGTCACAGGATTCGGCAATTCTTTAGAGGTGCCAGGCTTCATCGACAGTTTAAGCCGTAAATGTTCATCTATTTTTTATACTAAAAATTAAAAATTCTTACTATTTTTTTATTCAAACAATTCATAATAATTTCATTTCCGTACACTTCGGACAAATTTTGTCCATATCCTGGAGTGAAATTACATGCAATCGTGCGAGTATTTTTTTTTGTTGGTAAAATGTATAATAATAATGGTTTTCATTACGAGGAAATTGTTCGCTGTGATCCAAATCGGCCAAAAAGCAACTATTATCAATACCATTTGTAATAGACAATAGTAACTTGAGTTGAGAAGTGGAACCTCAGACCCAGTATTCAGTAAATAGGTCTTCTAAACAACCGCAAACACGCACGCGCACGCACGCACGCACGCACGCACGCACGCAGTACGCACGCACGCACGCACGCACGCACGCAGACACGCACACACACACACACACACACACACACACACACACACACACACACACACAATTTCCATACCTTAAGATAGTAATAACAACTCACCGATCTCTGGAACCTGTCCAAAATTCTCTCAGCATTCATTACTTTGGGGTCCTCGGCCGCGTATCCACTTAGCAGTTTCACGGCCCTATAAAACACAAAAGCGTTTTCATTCTCAACGTCATTAAACTTTCGTCGTACTTTTATATTAGTAGCAGTGACAATCAAATACACAGAATGTAATAGAATAGAATAATTTTCATTCATAATTAAATAAAATAATTCTTATTGAAAGTCATCTTTTAATTTGACCAGTGGATGGGAAAAACCTCTGTCCTGGGAAGAACCACAAAGAAACCCAGCGGTACTTTAAATCATAGAATACTACAATACCACAAAATTCTTTGCATGATATAGAAATAACAGAACGTAAAATCCTGAGTATACTCAAGTCGCTAGATATCTACAAAGAAGCGGGTCCTGACGGCATTCCTCCTCTTTTTATAAAAATGACATCAAAATATCTAACTCTTCTTCTTAAACTAATTTTTAGTAAATCGTTATTAACCAGGTCTTTTCCAATTGACTGGAAACGTTTTAATGTTATACCTATTAACAAGAAAGGAGATAAAAATAATGTTAAAAATTATAGACCGGTTTCAATTGTAAGTTTATTTTCAAAGATATTTGAACGCTTAGTTTATACAAGTTTAATAAATCATCTGAAAAATATTATTGTAGAGGCACAACACGGGTTTTGCAAAGATACTCGTAAATCTACTATTAGCAATTTGATGGATTACGCCATGAAAGTTACAAGTGCAATGGATGGTCAAATGCAGGTGGATTCCATATACACAGATTTTTCTAGTGCATTTGATGTCGTGGACCATCAATTATATCTAAATTAAATTCATACGGCGTGCATGGTAATTTACTTCTTTGGCTAAGTTCTTATCTCAAAAATAGATTACAAAGTGTTGTATTGCATGGATATAGGTCTAATGATTATGTGGCTCTAACAGGCGTACCACAAGGTTTACATATAGGTCCTATTCTTTTTTTGGCGTTTATTAATGATATAACACATAACATTAAGTACAGCCACTATGTTGCCGACGATTTAAAATTGTTCAAGGCTATTAAAAACCAGGATGATGTTCTATCTTTACAAAATGACCTTGATGCTATCCATGAATGGTGCAAAAGTAATAAAATGAAACTTAATCCTCGTAAGTGTACCTACGTTAAATTCACAAAGAATAAATCTACTGTTAAATCTTGTTACTTCATTAATAATGTACAACTGAATGAATCTTCATCCACCCGTGATCTTGGGGTCATTCTTGATAACAAACTTAACTTTATAGATCATATAGAAAATGTGGTAACGCGTTCATGGAAAATGTTAGGTTTTGTCAAACGTACATGTAAGGATTTCAAAAATGCCCAGACTCTGATAACTATCTATAACGCATTTATTCGTAGCAGTTTAGAATATGCCCCGGTGATATGGAATTCTTCTTATAAAATTCACATACACAGAATCGAGGTTATTCAACAAAACTTCACTCGATTCATTGCATATAAAGTTCAAAACTGTCCATACTATAAAGATTATAACTGTAGGCTTTCTCATCTTGGAATGAGTTCACTGGCTGACCAACGAAAACTTTTAGACATAATGACGCTACATAAACTTCTACACGGTAAGCTAATTTCGCAAAGTTTACTGCAGCAAGTGTGCTTTAAAATCCCCTATCATATTCCTAGACACCCAGTTACTAATTTGTTCAATATTCCCATCAGTAGAACCAATTTAGACAAGTTTTCTCTGTTAAGCAGATGTATGCGAACTTACAACAGCTTAAACAATCATGAAATCGACATCTTTAGCGACCCCGAACGTGTACTCGTATTTAAAAGAAAATGTAAAGACTTACTTTTACTGTTTTTTTTTACTGCTTTGCCAGATTAATGATTCAAAATTATTATTTATTGTAATTATTGCTGGTGTTTTTACTTTGATTGGTTAGTTTAATTTCTTTTTGTTTTAGAGTTTATATGTTGTTTAGTTTTTTTTTTTTTCTTTTTCTCTTATAATGATGTATACGCCTGTAAATACATATCCTTTATCTAAAAAAGTAGTATTTTGATTGTAACAATATTTGCTGATATTGTCGATGGTGTATCTATTTAATTAAATAAATAAATACATAATAGAACGGGGGAGTGGGCGGAGCCCGTGTAGCCACTAACATGTCAATTCACACGTATAAATGTCAACACAATCAATATTTTCCAATTTTCGTGTCAAGCGTCGCTGCAAATCATTTAAAAAATGGCAAATTGTGCAATAACTACGTGTCAAAAGAACAGCGGGAAATGGAATTTAAATAAAGGAGACATATTCTACAACCAGTAAGTCGAAACTATTTATATTTTGTAAATATTAGAAACAAAAATAAAGAAATATGTGTCAAAAACATTAATCAAAAGTCTAAAATGTGTTTGTAGTAGTGATAACTGATAACACGACGTAATTGCTTGTATGTGTGCTCCCGGCGACGCCAATCCCACTACAAAATAAGGTTGACAGCCGTTCTATTGTGTATTATAGTATTCTATACGTTAAATAGACCACTAAAAACGTTAAAAAATTATAATAAATATAAAATATTAAAATATTCCATTTCACAATCCATTACAGCCTATAAAAGTCCGCTGCTGAACATAGGCGTCTGTCTCCCATAGATTGCCTCATAGAAGTTATTAAAATAAGTCATTTACCACAGCCGCAACGGTCGGCAAGTGCAGTATTCTTATTTTTAGTTGTTATTAGAAGAAGCTGTTGCCCATGCCCTAATTTGTTTCCCTCTGTCGCCTCTTACGACACGCACGCGACAAAATGGGTAGTGGATATTTTACACCGCCACTACACAGTGTAATAATTGGGTACTTACTTATCTAAATTGAAGATAGGTAGATGCTTGTGCCTCTTCAACCTCCGCAATGCCAGCTTTGCTCTGAACCTGTGAAGATGTGCCTTCTTATTCGAGTCCTTAACCTTCGCGATCATGCCCTCAACTCGTTTCAGCAGCTGTATCTCTTCGTACTCTGTCATCTCCACAAGATCACTGCGAGCTTCAGGAACTTTTTCGATCCAGGGTAAATCGACGGAGTTCGGTTCTGTAGAGAACAAAGATTCCCGTCTCAGTAGAGGTTTCTCGTCGGTTTTTTTCCCTCTGACATCGGAAGGTAATTTTCTGGTTTCAGAGCGCCATCTATCGTCGATTTCGTCTGCGAGATGTGGAGAGCTTCTTGAATCCGAGTCGTAAAAATGTGGTGATTGCTGCTGAAAGCGAAGAATTGAGGAATCAGAACCATAATCATTTATTTCGTGTATCATAGGTTTGTAGGTGTGCTGCACACACACGCATGTATACCTTGTGAGGTTGTACCTATATACTTTGTGGATAAGATTTTTCAAGCAGTCACTAGTTGCCAGCCAACTGTATTGCACGTTCCTCTATAATAAATATTAACAAAAGTTATTTCATTTTTCATTATGGTCACCAATAGGGACCCTTAAGGAGTCAGCTCCTAAACTGGTGACCCCGACGTGATGATAACTCACAAGTGGGCAATTTATATAGCAACATGAGTGCGCCGCTTCCGCCAACGCCACAGAACGTGCCGCCCGTTCAAGACATCCAGCCACCCGCGCCACAGCTCATTATGGCGCCAGCTGTAGATTCGGTGTCTCTACAGACCCGGCTCTCAAACTTTTGGACGGACCAACCGCGCGTATGGTTCGTACGCACAGAAGCTATCCTCGCACCTCAGAGGATGAGTGATGAGGCGAAGTTTGACCTGGTCGTGTCCAAGCTAAGTAAGGAGGTCATCGCGCAAGTGACGGACATATTACTAAACCCGCCTCCTACCTACAAGTACGACGCACTTAAAACTCGGCTGCTCCACATCTATGAAGAATCAATGTCGAGGCAGATCGAGAAGCTTATGAGCGAGCTAGAGCTGGGTGAGCAAAAACCATCTCAGGCGCTTCGTCGGGTGCGTGAGCTCGCTACTGACAAGGTTCCTGATGAAACCCTTCGCGTGGTGTGGCAGAGTCGTCTTCCGACACAAGTGCGAGCCGCACTCACTGTGTCTGACTCCAAGGACCTGGACAACCTAGCAGCAGTCGCAGATAACGTCATGGAAGCTGTGCGGCCTTCCTTTGCCGCCACCGCTACCTACGCCGTACCAGCGTCAGCATTTACTGCCGCCCTTGACTTGGCCCTGTTGAGGGCTGAGGTGGCTAAAATAAAGGCTACCGTGGACCAGATCGATCAGCAGAGGTCGCGGTCTCGGGCCAGGGGCGCAATCGCAACCGGCGTTGTTCGCAGTCCAGGCGCCGTAGCGGTTCTCGCCGGCCTACAAAACCATTGGGCTATTTCTCAAAAAAATTTACCACCACCCAACAACGATATAGCACCTACGATCGCGAGTTGCTCGCTATATACTTAGCTATAAAACATTTTCGGAAATTATTTGAAGGTCAAGAAATAACCGTGTATTCGGACCATAAACCTTAACTTTTGCATTTCAAAAGGTAGGACGCGATGAAAGCGAAACGCCTCGGAGAACTAGACATTTAGTTTTCATAAGTGAGTTCACTACAAATATAAAACATATAACCGGTAAGAATAACATCGTAGCCGACACCTCATCGCGCGTCGAAGCCGTGACTATGCCAACTGCGTTGAATTTCGATGACATTGCAAACGAACAGCGTAGCGATAGTTGTATCACGAATGTTATGTCTGGTTTAAATAACAATAATATTTTGTTGAAGGAACTAGTTATACATATGTTAGATAAGTCTATTTTTTATGAGATGTCTACTGATACAGCTCGTCCGTGCCTACCGGAAAAGTTTCGACGCCTAGCTTTTGATAGTTTACATAATTTGAGCCATCCTGGAATTCGTTCTACGCGAAAAATGTTAGCTAAAAGTATTTCTGGCCTAGTATGAATCGTGATGTTTATGGGCAAAAACGTGCATACAATGTCAACGTTCCAAAGTTAACAGACATACGGTATCGAATCTAAGTTTCCGGAAGTACATCGTTTTGAGCATGCGCACATCGATATCGTTGGCCCTCTTGAGATCTCACCAGATGGTTATAGATACTTACTCACGATAATTGATAGGAGGACTAGGTGGTCCGAAGCTTTTCTGTTACGCGACATTACGGCAGAAACTGTTGCCAAAAATTTATAAGAAGGTTGAATTTGTCGTTACGGTTGCCCGATAAAGTTAACTAGCGACCAAGGTCGCCAGTTTGAGAGTACTCTTTTTAACCAGCTGTTAAAAATGTTGGGAGTTAATAGAATTCGAACTACTCCTTATCATCCGCAAAACAATGGCGCAGTTGAACGTTGGCACCGTTCTTTAAAGACAGCACTTTCGACTCGCCTGTCACATGGGTTCTGGGTGGAAGAGCTACGCACAGTATTACTTGGGCTTCGCGCGGCCGCCCGCAGCGACTCAGGGGTTAGCGCCGCCGAGTTAACGTTCGCACGAAACCTACGTCTACCAGGAGACTTTTACGACAGCTCTTAGAACAACCGTAACGCGAACGACTATTGTTTAGTGGATAAGATTAGAGATACTATTCGTAGTTAGAAGCCTACATCCGACGATTTACGTAACTGTCAAAGTTTTTTTGTAAACAAGGACTTAAGTAACTGTGAATATGTCTTTGTTCGCGACGATTCAATACGTAAACCTTTGAAACCACCCTACGACGGTCCATACCGCGTGATAAAAAGGGCTTCAAAGGTTTACCTAATTCAATTGCCCGTTAGACAGCTAGATATTTCTATGGACAGATTAAAGTCTGCATATGTGTTAAAGGAATATGATGGTAACGAAGCAACGCCACGCCACAGTAACGCTGACAACGCAGCGGATGTGGTGCCTGCGCATGTACGGTTCGCGTTACCACCGCCCACGCCGGTGACGTCGTCGTTACCCGGCCCGGGGAACTCGAAAACCGTGAAAACAACGGCACATTGTAAAGTTACCTTCACGATTTATGATAAGCTAGTGTTAATATAAACTATATATAATACAATTACATGTTTAAATAATAATCAGGTAGTTACTATGAGGTGAAAGTATTATTTGCATTGTTAGGTGCAGAATATTTTCATTCGTGATATTCAAGTTACATTATTTAAGTTGAATGTAATTGTAGAGGTATTGTGTTTAGTATTTTGCGTATACTACAGTTTCATTTAGGTCTAGGTAGTTAGTTTAGTTATAATGTATTTCATTTCATTCGAAATACTTCCTTTGCGAAACCATTAGTGCGAAAAGTTTTACGATTTTTACGATGGGTAATTTTCAAGAAAAACCAGTTATTGTTTCTCAAGCGCAGGATACTGTAGAGAATAATGTGGATAATTTTCAAATATGGATATATGTGATAGCCAGTTTTATTTAGCCAGTTATATTAGCCAGGGGACGATAATCTTGTACAATGTTTGGGTAAAGTTTAATAGGAAGTTCAAAAGCTGGCTTCGCCGTCAAGTGTTAATGGCAGGCGTTTCGATATCAGGCCAGAATATGGGTCAGATGATAGGTGCTTCTAGCACCAGTCTGCAGCACGCGCCCGCGCCCGCCGCGCCGTGGCAGCCCTCCCTTTCGCGGGGGTTGGGCTTACAGCCCTGCGCCCCAGCGCAATAGCAAGTTTTTGTTGTTAGTTTTAAGTTTTTGTTTGTATTCATTGTATAGTTTTAAGTTTTTTTTATTACTCATTTTTTTATAAAGGGGGAAGTATTGTAGGTGTGCTGCGCACACACACGCATGTATTCCTTGTGAGCTTGTACCAATATACTTTGTGTATAAAAAAATAAACAAAAAAATAAACGATATTCGGATTACACTCGAGTTATCGAGCTAACTCGACTCACCACCGAGTAGGCAGCACTATTCTATGCTGTATGCTGATCTCTTACGTAAAATACAGCGATACGTTATTATTATTGCAGCGGCACGAACGGATCACCTGAACCGAGGAATGAATCACAATCGTATAGAATTCCTGCATAAAATAGCAGCATAATAGCATTGTGTTTCGTATGGTGAGTGTAGAGACCCTTTTTATTGAAAACGAGGCATTCCATCTTAGTACTAAGGAGTGACAACGCATCTGCATTGTGACAATCGAGAGTAGATGTAGAAGTCTATGGTCCACACCATCCACTTACCATCAGGTGGACACTGAAAAAAGACTGAAATTATCAAACGTGGCGATACTATGGTAAATCTTTATGGCAAACCGACATAAAACATTTTAATAAAGTTATTTGTGTCGAAAATTTTAGGGTATTTAAAATTTACTATTTGTATCTTACTTGGTTCATTGCTGGCTTGTATCCAGTCGCATCGTGCCCAAAATTTTGAAACATACTCGTTAGGTCAGAGTCTTTGGAGTGGAAGTCTAACTGATGCTCCTCTATCGTTATGTCTTGGTCAAATTCCTGTCTGTTAGTAAAGTAAATTATGGTTATTTCTCATTATTTCTATCAAAGGGAAACATCATTATAATTTAAGTATTATTGCTATGTGTAGCGGCGCTGTCGTCGCACTACAAGCGAAACACACCGAAGCTTAAATCACGCTATCAACATTCCGAATCATAAACAGTATATATAGAACAGCTCCGAACTATCACACGGAGTGTCGGCCGCTCTCTGGGCAGAACACCTTGCCCGGCGGGAGATCTCCCCTTTTCCTTTCACGCCCACAGTGGTGACCCCGACGTGGCCGTTTATTCTCCTTTTTTCTGTCATAAATTTTACGTTTTAAATAATACTTGTTAATATAATATAATAAATAAACATTATAAATATAATAGATAGATAAATAAATTATAGTAATAGAACTAAGAATAGGGAAGGAAATTAGCCCCTGAAATACAGGTGTTATATCCTAGTTTAGGGGCTAATGACCACTGTAAATTTTGTGCATGTAATATGTTTATCAATAAAGATTATTATTATTATTATCATTATTAAGAAATGCCTCGTGGGCGTTGTAAGAGTTGACAGAAGGAGCAAATCAGAAGTTGGGCAGCAGAGTTTTCCTAACAATAACTAAATAAAAAAAAACATAAAAAACTGCGTTGCTAACTCGCCTGTCAAGCGTGGCTACCAATACAAATATCTAACTTGAGGCAATCTATAGGGCAGGCCTATTTTCAGCAGTGCAAATATCTCCCCTACGAGGCAATGTATGGGGGAGGCCTATATTCAGGAGTGGACTTTACTAGGCTGTAATAGTATCTATTCCTGAGAAAAGGATCCTTGACAGACGGACGGAAGGACGAACAACAAAAGTGATCGGAAAAGGGTCCAGTTTTTCTATAGTGAGCCATGAAACCCTAAAAATCAACTCACTTGATAACAATGTTGGAACATGAAGCTTCACTTTGCTCAATATCGAAACGTCTCTTCTTGAACGGTACCGCTTCGTTGACAACCGGCTGAGGGTTTGTCTCGTCCAGTACCAAGTGCTTGTAACCTAGAAGTAGATGACGTAAAAGTTATAGCCTATATACGTGGGCACACCATGTAGTGGCGGTGTAAGAATATAAATATATAATATTCATATCCATACCGTCCCGTGGGTGTCGTAAGAGGCGACACAGCAGCGCCTTCCTAATAACAACCCAAAAACAAAAATCTGCCTTCGCCAACCCACTTGTGTGCCAACTATGAAGGAAATCCCCCTAAACTAGATCAGACTATCTGTTGGGAAGGTAGGGAATTTCTATACGTGGTAAAGCCAGGCTCCAGTTGTATTATAGTTCTAGCACGAATGGGTCAGCTCGACCGGGGAAGACCACGCTCTCACAGAATTCCAACGTAAAGTAGCGGCGACCCTTTTTACTGTATACGAGGCATTCTATCTTAATCCACAGGTTCGACAACGCATCTGCGTATTGATTCTTAATTGAAATTGAATCTATGGGCTACGGTATCCACTTACCATCAGGTGGACTATGTGCTCATTTGTCACCCTTATTCTATAAAAAAGCTATAACACCCACTCAGTTTCCATTCGTTTGCTTGGCTTCGCTCGTTTCCGTTCGGTCGGCCTGTGCCTGGGGTAACAAAACGCACGCAAAAAGTTTGCGGATAGCGGGAAAGATGATTATCGGTAAACCAACAACTCACGAATTTTGACTTTAGATGATTTTACAGGGGTTTCGTTAAGCAAAATTCATATAGTCACAGACAATCTATATAAATAAAATTGATGAGTCTGTATGAAATATCGAAATAACTTTTATTGAACTGAGGAGGTTATTTGCATGTCTAAGACATGTTTAAACATTTTTTTAATTATGTCTGTCTGTCTATCCGTCTGACCGGGTTAATCTTCGGAATGATTGAACCGATTATTATATTAAGCTTATTGTAATTATTATTCTTAATATTGCTTCTTTTCACTTCTCTCCGATAGCTACGGATGAGATTAGGAAGGAAGTACTCTCCATCAAGTATAATGCTACAAGTTGTGACAATGTATAACTCCCTGCTATTTCCCAAATAATTAACTTCTGTATGGAATATGGAATTTAGAGTAAAACGTACCCAAGATTTCGAATCCTTTTTTACCTAATCACGTCCGTCCTATCCAAAGCACTAGAGGCCTATGTACATAAACATCCTTCACAGTTTATCTTCTCAAATAACCCGTGAAACCCCTTACAGTCTGACTTCAGGCCAGGCCATAGTACTGTTTCCGCGCTCCTCAAAGTCACTGGTGACATTCGGGCAGGCATGGAAGACTCTAAAGCCACTTTGCTGGCTTTGTTTGTCTTCTCCAACGCCTTTAATGCCATCAGTTACGGCATCCTTCTATCTATCCTTTCCCTTTTTATGATCTCATCTGAAACTTTGGAGTGATTCTCATCTTATATTCGGGGCCGCCAGCAGTCACGAGTTTTCGTCGAATCGGTGTGACTTGAATGCCAGTGGTTTCGCGGCGGTATTCTATCCCCGTTGTTATTTTCAATATTTATAAATCTCATTACGCCAAATCTTCAATGTGCGTATCATTTGTAAGCTGATGACCTGCAGTTTTACTCACAGGCGAGGGTCGTTTGTATACGAGGGCGGCACTGAAAATTTCGGGAATCAAGGAAGTGATACAACATTACTATTTAAAAATGTATTTATTGCTTTTCGAAGTATTCTCCGCGAAATTTGACACATTTTTCCGTACAATGGAACCAATCATTGAAGCAACCATTCCATTCGGAATTTGGGGTCTCCAAAATGGCCATTTTGTAGGCGTCCACATCTTCTTCAGGTGATGAAAATCTCTGTCCACGCAATTTATTCTTCATTTTAGGGAAATTATAGAAATCATTAGGGCTTAGGTCGGAGCTGTACGGCAGATGGTCTAATAATTCTATGTTTTCTTGTTCTAAAAACTCTTTTGTTCTGTGCGCGGTGTGAGAACTCGCATTGTCGTGATGGAGGATGATGCGGCGGTTGCAGTTCTCTTCGCGGAGTTCATAAACGACCTGTGGCAAACAAATGCTAGCATACCATTCTGCATTAATCGTTCTTTGTCCCTCAAGAGGAATAGTCGTAACATGGCCGGTTTTGGAGACAAACGTGGCCACCATTTTTTTTGCAACACTCCGTGAACAACAATTTTTGTTGGCTTTAACTCATTTTCGAACACCCAAACTCGTGACTGGTTTTTTGTTTCGGGTTCGTACGTGTATATCCAGGATTCGTCACCTGATACGATGTTGTATACAGCATTTGAGGATCCTGCGTGGAATATTTCGAGAGTTCTGACGCACCAAGTAACGCGAGCCGCTTTTTGCTCTTCACAGAGCGAATGCGGTATCCATCGGGAAAACAACTTTTTTACACCTAATTGTTCATGCAAGATTATTTGTATTTGACTCATGCCAATGTCGAAAGTTGCCTGAATTTCGTGGTACGTCACATGTCGATCTTCCTCAATCAGCTTACGCACAGCATCAACGTTTTCTAGGGTGACTGCAGTTTTTGGACGACCTTGACGGGGATCATCACTGAGCTTGACACGTCCACGTTGAAATTCAGCAAACCAGCGATAAATTGTGGTTTTGGATGGGGCTTCATCACCAAATGCAGAAATCATCCGGTCGACACACTGTTTTTGTGTTAAACCACTTCGAAAGTCATAATAAATCATCGCTCTTTAATTTTCTCGAGTAAATTCCATTTTCTCACGACGACTAAACAAGTTTGACAAAACCATGTGACAAGACCGAGAATCTTTTTTTAAATAAATAAATGGTATTCGATTTTTAAAACCAAGGAGTTTTCAATTAAAAAGATTTTAATATGACAGGAACAGTGGAAATATTCCATTCCCGTTACTTTTAGTGCAGCCTAGTATTCACAGCAATTGACTCAGTTAATAGGGACCTAGAGTATATAAAGAACTGGTCTGACAGGTTTGTCCTTAAAGTTAACCCATCCAAATGTCAGGCTATAATAGCAGGTAGCCATCGGATTATAAAGAGATTGAATCCTACAGCTTTACCTCCAATCGTTTTAACGGTTATATTTTGAACTGAGTAGTACCTTGAATGACTTTGGCTTACACATTGATTCCACTATGAGCTAGTAAACTCAAGTGACAAATATTTGTCAGAGAGCCACAGGTATTTGGCGTGCTCTCTAACCTGAGAGGCCGGAGCCTGAACGATTATTGTGCAGACCTTCATTTTCCCCCCTTTTTGACTATGGTGACGTGTGTTTCGACCTAATTGCACAACTCTTGAACAAATATGATGGTCTTCTTAATAACTACCTTCGATTCATTTTTAATCTTCGCAAGTATGATCATGTGTCTACTTATCGCTTTCAACTTAACTGGCTTCCCATTCGTAAGCGCCGTAGTCTACGTGCACTCACTACTCTTTATTCCGTCCTGATGTCTCCCCATTTTCCATCTCATTTAGCTACTCATTTTCAGTATCTTAGCTCCAACCATGATAGAGTTCTCCATCCTACTAATAATCTTCTGCTTCGCTGTGCTCCTTATAGTGCTGACTTTGTCCAATCCTATCTGTTCTTCTTTGGAACGCTCTTTCTCCCGAAATCAGGAGGGCCGAACCAACTTGGATTTGAACAAAAAACAATTTTTGTTCAAATCCAAAGCTCAAAAACTTCTTGTAAATAAAATGGAAGAATCAACGCAGTGTTCTTAGTTAACTTTATGTTAATATGTATTTGTATTTGTATATGTGTGTATATATATATATATATATATATATATATATATATATATATATATATATATTTGTGTATATGTATGTATTATATTAATATGTATTCATTTATGCGTTTGTATATAGACATTCTGTACCTACTTCTTTTTACACCTACCTCTTTTATCTCTGCACTAATCTAAGGTAGACTGGTAGATAATGCCTAGGGCATTAACTCCGCCTATATAAATTTCAGTCTATATGAAGTGAAATAAATAAATAAAAATAAATTCCACCACGGGGAAGCTGGAACGTGGTATTTAATATACGCAATACAAACCTAATTCAGATACTTTGGCAAAAAATAGTGATTTGTCAATGCTCATGTGCCCTCGCGGCCGCCCTTTAACCTTTTCTTTGGACAGCTCCTGATCTAGAATTAAAAAAAAATGTTATTTGTTGTTTCCAAAGACCGAAAAAGTTGGAAAACAAAAGATTTGTTCCGTGAGAAAGGTCAAATCAATATTTTTTACACCATACGGATCGCAAAGATTAAACGGTCCAACTAAGAGTAAGTGGCTACTGAAGCCCATAAATATACTGATTCTCTTAACCTTCAAAGCGGAACACAGTGTAGCTGGACTAATATTAGGCAGCCGAAGTAGATAAGAGGGTGATCCATACCATCTAATAATTTCTTATCGTTTAAGCGTCTTATATGCATTTGTTCCTCTGAACAATGAAGATACAAGTACACAGTAATGATTTCTCATATTTCGCGCACATATCTTCCATTTTCACATGACAGCGTCACGCTGCAGCTAATTGTAGTTGTAGCAGGAATGGATCCGCTCGACCGGGATAGGACCACGCTCTCCCTGAATAACAGCTTATAGCTGCCTTGTTTCGTATGGTAAGGGCAGAGAACTGGAGAAATTTTAAATTGAAAAATAAAGAAATTTGAATTGAATTGACTCTTCACCGGGAATGAGGCATTCCATGTTTTTCCTGAGAATTGACAATGCATCTGCATTTTGATTCTTGATCAAAAATAGATGCAAACAATCAACATTATCAACTTACCGTCGTACCGTAGGTGAACTGTCCTTTGTCATCCCTGTTCTGTAATAATAAAAAAACTTCTACGAATATGTTCAGGATCGCCCCATTACATCAGATTCGATAGACCACAAACCCTCGCAAAAGAACACCGATTTTACCAAGTATAATTTGAGAGGCTAATGAAATTAAAACAATCCTAATTTTAATAGAGAAGATGGCTGACCTACAATCTGCTTGGGATACCTAAAAAAATTAAATCCCAACCCAAGCATTTCACTGCAACACTTCAAGATACAATAAGTTCCTTCTGCATAGATTGGACCAAATAATAATAATTGAACACCTCAGTCCCCCATCAGATCAAGGGATGCTGAAAAGTTATGTTGTTAATTTAAAAAAAAAATATATATATATATTATATATATATATATATATATATATATATATATATATATATATATACAACATGTAACCGCTCATCAAAAAATTGTACAAGTACAATCATATATATAAAAAAAAAAAAAAAAAAAAAAAACATGTAACAAAAACACTGTGGTTCCTGTTAACTGCGTTATCAGAATCAGTATCCAAGCATATAGAAATATTTTTTCCAAAAAAAAAAAAAAAATATATATATATATATATATATATATATAATATAATGTTTTTTTATCTTTATTGACATCTCTTAGTAACCACGGAAAGTCCGCCGTGTTGTAGGAAGGGGAAAAGATGCAAAATAATATGGACACTCGCCCGCAGCAATAAAGTTTTATTTAGCTTACGTGCGCGATTTATCTAATTAATAATAAATATGTAGGCTATTAAACGTCGGCAAGCAGTCAACATCAAAAGAGTGTAAATTCTGTACGTAGTACTATAATTTATTCCATGCTGTTTGTAGTAGTTAGACTGTGCTTAGCTATCGAGTTGTGTAATTAAATTTTGGATGTAGACGATAGATATGTAGCTGCAACACCAAATTGTATCCCTCGATTTTGTTATCGTTAATTTCGAATAAAATAAAGTAAAAAATTTTGGTAGTGTTAGAATATTCACTACCCCATATCATACGGTGGATGTTTTAAGACAAGAGGTGACAGAGAGAATCAAATTTAAAAATAAAAACTGCAGTTGCCAACCCTCTTTCCAAGCTTGGCAACTATGTCAAATATCCCCTCTATGAGGCAAATGAATGTGGGAAGCGTATGTTCAGCAGTAGACTTCAATAGGCCGTAACAGTGACAATATGGAAGCAAATTTAAAGACGTATTCATGATAAAAAATGTATTAAAATAAGTTTGTTACTGATGTGTGCGGCGACTGCAGGTGAGAAGGAGTGGAAGAGGCGCCACCAGCCGGTCTCGCCCAGCGCGACGGAGCCCGACATGAAAAACGTGCTGTTGTACACCGACAGGGCGCCAGCGATCGTGCCCACCCAGTTCTTTTTCTGCTTGCTGGTGAATTTATTACTTAATATTTGCAAGCGTTATGTTCTTATCAAATTATAGAATACATTTTAATGGCAAAATGGCCGTGGAATGACTCCCAGGTCACCACAGCTTTCTTCGGCTGGGAGATATTTAAGTGTGCTCGAAGAGAGAAGAGCTACTACTTGTATGAAGCTGGGGCTTGTTGCTAGTGTCATAAGTTTTTTTTTTCATTGTACACAAAATATAAAATTTATTCGATCCATTTTTACTAAATAGTAGGTAGTAGTAATGTTAGTAATATGCACTAAATCAAATTGAGGAGTGGGATCTTTAAAAAAAATCTATCTTTCAATCGAACCACTTTTAAAAACTTCTACAACTATTAATATTAGGTTTTACTTATGAAATTGCCGTTTTTTTAAAAAATAAGTTGACGTAAGTTTTTTCCATATTTTTTATTTCTACCTACTAATCTAAGTAATCACCTAAGCAACCAATGCATCTTTGCCAACGCAGTGGCAGTTTATAGATGCCCTTCTTGAAGAAAAGGCAATAAATTCTTCAAAGGCATTTTGTACTGCCACTTGGGTATCGAATTTTTTTCCCGCCAAAATTTATCCAAATTCTGGAAAAAGTAGAAGTCTGTAGGCCCAAGGTCAGGTGACGGCGGATGACGGAAAGCTTCCAACCCCAGCTCTTGTAACTTTGAGATCGTCTGTTGTGCAGTATGCGGTCGCGCGTTGTCGTGGAGGAGCAGCGGGGAGGAGTGATTGACCAAAGTCTGTTGGAGACGTGTGAGCTTCTCCATCATTGTGCTCAGTTCTTCACAGTACACATCTACAGTAATGGTCATTTCGTTTGGTAAGAATCTGTGATGAATCACATCGGCGCTAGACCATCATATAACCATCCGATAATCCCTTCTTACAACACTAATCGAAAAAGGATGATGAATTCTCTTACGCTATGCACATCATATTTTATAATTAGTAGTAACAAAATTACCTAATCCTGTATTCATTGAAAGTTAAAGTTACAGTCTATATATGTCCCAATGCTGGGCACAAGCTTCTGCTAATGTCTGCGAGGGTTTTAGGGCAAGGAAATGTACGCCGCTCTGCCCCAATGCGTGTTGGTGAACTTGTCATCTTTGAAATATTTTTTTATAATTAATAGAATCAGGCATTATAATTACTTACTTTCCTTTACCGCCATGCACATGGGAAATTAGCATCTAAAATTGCAATTAACAATTTCACGTTGCAAGTGTACTGTGAATTAATAACTAAAATATAATCATGTATCATAGGTTCTTACATTTGTGTTCCAAATAGTAGCACCCAGTTTCGGTCAATAAAAGAGCATATGTGCATTTTGTAATGAAAAAATCCATTGTTGCTAATGCCATGTGCCTGGACATTTAAATGGTGTAGAGTGAGTAATAAAACATTCACCCTGAAACAAAAAGGCAATCATCAAGTCCACTGCTAAACATAGGGTCTCCCCATATATTGCTTCGTAACCACATTTTAATGTGGTAGAATCATGCTGCAGCTATATTATAGTTGTAACACAACCGGGTTGATTCAACCAGGGAATGAACATGCTCTCACAGATTACCAGCATAAAAAAGCAGTTCAATGCTGCTGTGTTTTGTATATTTAGTATAGAGAAACGGAGACCAGTTTTACTGGAAATGAGACACTTCATCTTAGTCCTCAGGGGTGGCAATGCATCTGCATTTTGATTCTTAATCAAGTATAGGTAAAAATGTCTATGGGCCACAGCATTCACTTACCATCAGGTGGACTGTGTGCTCATTTGTCACCCTTTAATTTAAAAAAAAAGCACTCGGCAAATATCTCCTCTCCTTATCTCCTAGGCTGGCAGGTGCGTTGGCAACTGCAGTTTTTAATATTTTAGTTGTTATAAAGAAGGCACTACTACATCCCCCGATTTGTTTCTCTTTGTCACCTTTTACAACACTCGACAATGGGGACAATATGTGGTAGCGGAAATTCTTACACAACTACTACATGTTTCAAAAACAGACATTGTTTTTTGCTGTACTACCTTACCTTAACTTACTGTGATAGTTTGGTCCATCATATGTGCCAATTTTATCAATACCAAAAAACATTATTTAATGAAAGAAAGAAGAAAGAAAGAAACAGATATTTATTTGGCCATTTCTTAAAAAATTTGCAATAAATACTCAAAACATACATTATAATTAGGTATTCTTATAAGTAGACTTAATAATACACTTACACAAACTTAAAAAAAAGTGAACAGCAAACTTAAATAAAAAACTTTTTTTTAAATGGGAAATGGTCCAAATAGGACTGCCACTCAGGAAACGCTAAGATGTGTCATCCTAGCCCTGATTTTCAGTGGCTACCTTAAGTACATTATATAGATACACACACATATAATATATATACATATACATAGATATAATACACATACATACATAAATATATTCATACGGATAACACACATACAGATACACATATGGGCACATATTTTCTATATATATGGGCACATATAATATATACTTATTTGGATTAATAATACAACTATATACACCATTGGTAGGTTTTTAATAGTCTTTTTATATTTACTTTTGGGCCACAACTGCCTTATCTTTGTAGTGCTATACCGGATGTTTATGAATGTTAATTTTATTGCATAACTGGAACCGAGGATATTAAAATAATTTAAATTTCATATAAAAACACTTATACACAATAGCAACCCGAGAGATATGTTCAACATAATATGCTACCGCATCCATTTAGCATGTTTTATCACAGAACCTGCGCTAACACTATGCGCGCAATGGAAAGAAAATAGTGTAATTAGATTGTACACCCGTGACGTATGAAGGAAAAAAAATGACATACGCACCGGAACATACATAGATATACACGCTAAAGCATAAAAACATTAAATTTTAAATTGATAATCTACAATCGTAGCTGTTTGTTTAATAGTATAGCTTTGTATTTTGTATGAAAACTATACACTGATTGTAGGTTTCGAAGAGGCACTGGAAGGTTATTCCAGCACTTAGTTGCGGCATATCTGAAGCTCCCTCGGAATGCGGCAGAATGATGTATGGGTATGAGCAACTTGTACGCCGAAGCTCTTGTCGAAATTGTAGCATTGTCTCGTGCCCATTGTAACTTATTATAAAGATAGGAGGGAGTTCTCGTTTTGATAGTGCCAAACAATAAAGTGGCGAAATGTAGTTGCCAACGTTAATCCATTTTAAGCATTCTTGTGTTGTTAATATAAGGTGTAACATGGGCACGTGGAGGAATTTTATAACAGAAGCGGGCACAGGCATTTTGAACACGCTGGATTAGTTTCCTTGAACGCGCGCAAGTCTAGGCCCTAATACCGCGTCAGCGTAGTTAAATTTAGATAGTACTAACGATTCGCATAATTTCTTACGCACCTCAGTGCATAAAACATTACTATTCCTAAGTCTCTCGCCTCATTAACACGCTCAACATTTACATTTTTTATTTTTACCATTGGGTGGGCAGCTAACACTTTACTGATTTGTGCTTTAGTACCGAGTAGGATGTATTTTGATTTATTAGGATTTAAAAGTAATGTATTTGCTTCAGACCAATATGCTGTGCAATTTAGATCATCATTCAACTTTTGTATTGCATCAGTACTTTCACTGGAGCAGAAGGAAATATATAGCTGCACATCGTCAGCATATATGTGGTACTTGCAGTTTGTTATGCTTTTTGTAATATCTGCACTATACAAGGCAAAAATCAAAGGACCCAATATTGAGCCTTGCGGCACCCCTCTCTCAACAGGAGATCATTCGCAAACTGTTCTAGAGCCGTCACTATCCGTTATTTCGACAGTCTGCCTACGATCACTAAAGTAACTAGCAAACCAGTCGACTGTATCGGAACTAAACCCATAATACCTAAATTTTGCTAGCAGTAGACGTCTATTTATTGTGTCAAATGTATGGGAATAGTCCAAAAGTACTAAAATAGTAGCATTACCAGAGTCTTGCGCATTTAAAATATTATCAACCACATCAGCTAAGGCTGTTGTTGTACTATGCTGTTTCCTAAAACCGGATTGAATGTTTGGTAGGATGTTATTCAAGTTTAAGTAATGCGTTAGTTGATCACAGACAATTTTTTCTAGAATTTTAGACATACATGGCAGTATGCTTATTGACCGCAAATCTTTAAAGTCCATAATATTTACTTATTTAGGAATTGGTCTTATTAACGCCATTTGCCATAGAGTGGGAAACCTTTTTGTAGTGAGAGAGATGTTTAAAATCTTTGTGATAGCACCTATGGAATAGGGGAGACTCGACAGTAGCATTTCCAATGAGATACCATCCACACCTAGAGCGTTTGATTTTAAATTTTGAAGTATTTTTATAACAGCGTTATTGTCAGTTTGAACAAGGTCAAATATTGCAGAACTAAATCTGTTCGTCTCGTAATAATCTGACTGTGACTGTGAGGCAGAACCCAGGCCTGGGATATTAAGGAAATGATAGTTTATATTGCATGCACAAAATCACATTCCCTTTCTATACCTATTAAAGAATGTGTTTAAAAATATGTTAGGGTAAGCTGCTGGTTTCGTTACATAAGGATGACTAACACATTTTGGGGACAAGAATGGACTATGTCTGACATTCTCTAAAACTCCACAATGTATCACTTTCATGAGATAATGGCAGTACAAAGGAAACATTTTAAAGAAAGTAGTAGATATTTATTTGGCCATTTCTTACAAATTAAGTTAAGTATTCTGTGTGAGCATGGTCCTTCCCCGGTCGAGCCAACCCATTTGTGCTACAAATATACTAATAATATAACTGCAGCATGGCTCTACCGTATATTAAGGTTACCATGTAGGTTGGCAATTATAGCTTTTTTATTATTTTCTCTCATCAGGGAGATGCTGCTGCCTATCTAACGTTTCATCTTCCCTCTGTGTCGTCTTACGACACCCACAGAACAACATGGGGTAGTGGATATTCTTACACTGCCACTACACAGTTCACACCACCACTACACAGTATTACAGTAGCAGTATGTAGGTATGGGCAGATTCATAAGTAGTTAACATTTGTTAACCAACTGTGTTACTTGCCTAGCATGTCGTAAAAAGTGGCGAATATTGAATTTGGGATTCTTAAGGCGATGGCTTTTCCACTTGGTGTTCTTTGGATTCTGCCTAACTCCTTGTGAATCACAAGCGTAACATTATGGAACTCCTCATTGAGAGAAGACTCCCTTATTTGTACCAGGAAATCACGCCTTTTCCAATACAAGGATTATCAAGACATCCTGATCCACTTTGGTTGTCACTGATTTAAAAAACTTACCAAGGAAACTTTTTCCTATCAAATACTTCTTCCCCATTATCTGAACATTCGGAACACGTAAATTCAAAGAAAACATCACACGAAAAGTCGCCCGGTGTGCCGGGTCGCTTTAAACAGGTTAGATGAATAAATCTATTACAGTTTATACATGTGAGTCCTGGTTTGTCTTGTTTGTTTTCAGGTTTAATACAATATTTACACACCGCACATGGGGTTATTTCAATGTTTGAAACATCAGCGGAATTATTTTCTTCTACTTCCATTGTTTTTGTTTTGGTAAAAGTAATGTATTCTTTGTTGATATTGAATAAATGTCAATGTAATGTCAATGCTGGTGCTGCCAGTGAAAATGTGTAATTAGAATTTCCCGCCTCAGTATGCTAAATTATCCGCGGTAAAGAACGCTGCTATTTTAAGCTGAACCTTTGACTAGAGAAGAAAGCTGAACGCATATTTGTCAGCAGTTAGCACTAAAGACTACAATATTATTCAGCACCGTACGCGCCGTACGCGTCGCACGGGCACCCTATTCCAGGTATATACAAAAAGTACTCTGTCCCTTATTCGTTATATGAAATAAACGTTAGTTTCCCTATCTGGTCTTCGAAATCATACCTCGCACATTGCAGCCCCTGCAGCCGCACGCAGACTATAGTAATCATAGGTAACTAGTGGAAACTACCAAATCAGCCGCACCCATAGAGGTTAGAGAGAAGGAGAATGATAGTTTTTCGATTTAGAAAAAAGTGTCCCAGGAATATAGACTAAATAAATGAGGCGCTGCGGTCGCTAAGTTGTCTCAATAAGAGCGATCTGTTGTCTTTGAGTATTAAACCAACTGGAGAGGCCATGCGCGTTAATTCCTAAACAAAAATTCTGTCAACATCAGGGGGGCACACGAGAAACACACAACTGTATACTTAATCACAAATGCAAAATTAAATCGCGTTACTATAAACGCACACTACAGCATTTGTGTTTGTGTTCATTGTATTTACGCATACCATCAAATTGTACACGTGTCGATACACTGTTGCCGCTGGTCAAATGCGTAAGCAACGTAGGGCGTGGACGTCAATATTTTTTATCGATAGACAAATCAACTTAGTCCGCATATGTTTTTATTTGATTATAAGTAACATATATATATATATATATATATATAAATAATACCAAAGTGTTATTTGAAAATCTTTTTTTAAAATATTATAGTAAGTTTATTATTTTTCTACAGATTTATTTTACATTATTCAGGATAAAATTTAAAACATGTAATAAATCGAAATGGGTGGTTTAGCTAACTTATTTTGTAAAAAGAAAAGCCGTATCAGTTTTAGTCTTAGGTGATGTTAACCAAGTTTTTGTTTTTATTATACGGCTTCAATCACAAAACCGCTATTTAAAACAGTTGTTGATTTTCAAGAGTTATTAAATGAACTATATGGAAAATATTTAATAAATTAGGAAAATAAAGTAGTTTCACAAAATATCATAGTTTAACAACGTGAACTTTAAACAGACAGCTGCTTAAAAAAACGTGACATCTACCTAGGGCTAAGTATTCCACAGAAAAATATTTTGCTTTAACTTTACATTACTATTCACCGAAAGCTTAGCGATATGTGCGAAATATCAAAAGGTTGGAAATTTGTCCGCCTTCATCACATCACTTGGCTACACAAAAAAAACGTTAACTGTTTTAAAACCTAGTCTAGAGAGTAACTCTGACAAGAAATTGTATTGTATATTAATGATAGATGAAATAAAAATAAAACAATTGATAGAGTACCATGCAAGTTTTAAAAGACGTTTGGTTAGGATAATTATGGATTTGACTTCATTTCCGACAATTCGGGGAACGCTACTGATGCTTTAGCATTTTTATTAATGGGCGTTAATACTTCTTGTAAAGTACCCATTAGGTACTTCTTAGTAAAGGGTACAAGTGCTGCCCTAAAAGCAGCCCAACTTTTCCGCCATGGCGAGGTTGGTTTTTGAACCATCAGATGTCAACGCCTTTATTTCAATAAAAATGCGTTAGAAGCTTCATCGGAATTATCGCATATAAACGAATCTACGAACCCGTAATCTACATAGCCATAACGCCAACGCTAGCATGGTACGGAATACCTCCATTGCTTATTTTTCATTTCGTCCATGACCAAGGTACAATAAATTTTTAATCAGGGTTACTCTCCACTCTCAATTTTAATGCCGTCAGCGCTACTTGAGTAAACCTTGTTCGGCCATTGATGGTACTGTACCACTTATTCAATGTCCGCGGTGCAGGCAAACATGTTCCAAAATTTTTACGTACATAGTGATAGGCTTTTGGTGAGTAATTAAGTGTTAGGCCAAAACATCCTAACTCTGGGGAATATTTCAGGGGTCTAATAACAAAGGCGGCAAAGTCCCATATAATGATATGGGACTTTGCCGCCTTTGTTATTAGACCCCTAATTTAGTTCTGAGCAGTTTTCCAGTCTTACTTTTAAGTAATTGTCTCTTTAAGAGTTCGCCTTCTTCAATTCCTATCTTTTCTAGGACCTGTTTGTTTTATTTATTTATCAAAGATGTTTCTGTCAGAGAATCTAGTATTTCTTGTAAACTTGTAACTTTTTTCTTTAAATACCGTTTTGCGATTGAAGCCTTTTTTATGCCATTGTTTTTTATGTCAAGGCACTTTTTTAGTTTAATTTTCTTTGGCGTATCTTCTAAGTGTTGGCTCGTACTTGCAGGGGGTACTTGCACAAAATAAACTGATTTGATTTGATTTGATTACTTGCAGTGGTAGTAGGACTAGTTGAGGCTATATACGTAATTTTCTTCGAATTGTGACTTTCGAGACAACTTTTTAATGGAATTTTCCGAAACATCCAGCTTTCTTTTTTTTTCGATATAGACGATGTTGTACAATCACAACGATCAGCCAGATTAATGCTTTTGTAAATTTATAGAAATTCTAAAATATTTTCCAGTGGAATAATATTGCTGCCAAAGGTAATAATAAAATATTTAATCGAAATATAATTACAGCCAACAATTACCTCCCACAAGTTCAAGGTTGGTACTGCAGTGCCAGCTAACCTTCTATTATTGTGAGCTTGGGGTATGAAATATGATTTTTCCCCATGTTAAAAAAAGTTATCCAAGATTAATGGTTTCTACAAGTTGCAATCCAAGTTTGCTGCCTACGACGATCTCTTGGAAGTCTGTAAAAACAAACCAATAATAAAAAAATTTACTACTTTTGGTAATACTTTATTATAAAATCTAAATAAAAACTAAAAACCGGTTCGGCAGACAAACCCGCGTGGTTAATTAACTTATCGATAGCTAAAGTTGTGGCGTACATCACTATAGTGCAATACTTTCGGTTACAGTGATACCAGTTTATTTTTATAAAAATTGCATGCTTTTGTGCGAGGTAGCAAGTTTCGATGTGACTTATTTGGCCTTTATTTTGTATAATATTTTGATAAATAATGGTTATCGATTATATTAAATTATATAATATTCAGAATCATGTAAAAATTGTGATGAATATATAAATCATTTAACAAAATCCACTACACATGTATGTGTGTATGTATGTAATGATTATTAATCATCACAAACTGATTAAGTTATTATGATATACATTTCCGTTAATATAATTAACTTGTGTAATAAATTATATTTATTTAAAAATAGATTATTTTTCACTTTATTATTTATGATGGCCACACTTGGTACTTGACGATAATATTCAGAAAGTACGAGTTTTAACGATAATGTTACTAGAATATTATGTTAAAAATACTTACAGATGAAAAGTCACGTTGTTATTTTGTAAATTTAACGTTTTTGATTTGATTTTTTGCACGTAAATACACTGCAATTCGGCATTTTGTCGGAGCTCGATTTACTGGCACGATCACTTCGGAATGGCGCACGACGCGAAGCAACTAGTTTTATATAACGGGTATGAGTCGGACTCTCGTACCTTTTACAGAGGGGTATGCCTTGCGATGCCGTCTCCTTTGGTTTAATACTCAAAGTCTGTTGTGCGCTAGTTTGAAATGATCTATCAAAGTTTATTATACGTGTTATTATATTATTATATATCATTCAAAGAAAAAAAGAAAATAACGAAATTATTATTATTTATTATTTTTATTTATTAATAAATAAATCATAAATTATGTTTTTTATAATTTTAACTATTATAAATTATTATAAATTTTGAGCATTTACTAACTTGCAAATTTTGTAATTAACCTTATTAATTCAGCAATTTCTTAAAAGTTCAATAAAGATAAATTAAGAAAAAAAAACAAGTTTAATTAAGCAAATAATAATTTTACGTATTCAATATTTAAATGTGCAGCTATGAATTGATAACGTATGAAGTTATTACTTTTGGTACTTTAAATAACGATAATTGAAGCAAATTGTTTTTCAGTCAATTTTTCCGATCAGATGCTAAACCACTTGCACATCCACGCACAATACAATATTTCACCATTTTTTAATATTTCTTTTTGTCAAAAATTAAAACATTACGGAGTACGATTATTTTCTCACCAATGCCGCGAAGAAAATTTGTACATTATTCAACTAACTTTATCTACTTGTGAAGAGCAAGAAGCTCATAAACAGCTAACTTCGTAGATACTACTTACCGACAGCAGTTCAGAGACAGACGGGCTATGCTTTAGCACGTAGCGATCGTTCTTCTTCTCTCTAACCTCCATGACCGCACCGTACGCGCCGTATTTTATTTATTTAAAGGTACTCTGTAATTTATAATAGCCTGTTTACACTCCCGCGTGAGCTGTGAGGCAAGTCGCGAGGCGAGAAACTAGGTGCGAGTATAAACGCTAGCTCGTGGCTCGCCTCGTCACTCGCGGCGCTCGCGACGTAGGCGGTAAACACAAGACAAAGGGCCGCGCGTGGTACGCGAGCGCGTACTTTACACTCGAGCTCTCTTTTTAGTTGTTTTACGGTGCCCTTCCGTGCAAATTCATTATTTTTTAAGTTAAAACGTTATTGAGGTTCATTTGTTAACGAATAGACCTCTAAAATTATTTCATAAAATTATTTAAAATTTTATTCTATCATGTCAGCTACTATGCACGTGCATGTTATTAGAATATGTTGTTTGTCTTAATTTTCTGCAATACCTATGAAAATTTTAACAGAGAACTGCAGCTATATTATAGTTGTAGCACAAATGGGTCGGCTCGACCGGGGTAGGACCACGCTCTCACAGAAAACCAGC